TCGGAAAAATTGGGATACAGAAAATGGTGAATATCATGGCGAAGATGATGACTATAACATTAATGGATGTTTGGAGAACTGTCGATCGAACTGTTTGTTGATCTGACTCCGGTTGTTGTTCTCGCCGGCTATCTACTTTCGGTGGACTGTGATTCTGTTTATTTTTCGCCTCCACGTGTGTCGGTGCATGCTTTATCTTCGGTCCCCTTTCATCTGTTATTTTTCGTCCCTTTCCGTTAGGGGTGATGGATATTCGTTCATTGTCCTTCGGACTAAGCAATTTTTTTTTGTTCATCCGTTGAGATTTCGGAGTTGACAGTTTTTCTACAATACTTTCTCGGACTCGATCTCTTAGGTTTTTCTCTCCTGTCGCTTCCTGGTTATGTTGCTCTGTGATACTTTTCTCTATGCGGACTACTCTGACGATGATTTCTTTATTGGTTCGGGTCTTTTTCGGTTGGATTCGTCTCGTTCTCCCCTTTTGTGAGGCAGGGTCTTGGAAGCTTAAAACTTTTCCGTCGGGGAGTTTTATTGTTTCTGTCGCTAAGGTTATTTCTAACCCCTGGTTTTTTATTATGTCTCTTCCTAATAGTCCGTCAAATGGTTGCGTAATTTCATCGTCTATAATATAACATGGGTAGGAAAATTGTAAAGGTCCGATTTGAAATAGGAAATTGTTTTCACCATACGTGTTGATTCGGTGTCCGGTGACGCTTCGGAAAGGTATCTCGCTCCGGTTATTTTTCCTTTTGAAGGTGCCTAATCTGTGCGCCAGTGGGAGCCTGTGTCTATGGTTACTCGAGTCGCCACGTCATCAATGAAACAGTGTAATGTAGGCTCCGCATCATGCGCTCTGAAATTACGATGGGTTGTTGCGTCACTACATTTAGATATTTTAGATGTATTTTTTCTCTCTTGCATAAAATTGCCTCTAAAATTCCGTCGGTTTCGGTTGACTTTCCTTTTGTATTGCGGTATCTGGGGTCGAGGTTGAGTCGTGGGGTTTCGCCAGTTAATTCTTGAGTCGTCTAAATCGTGTCTTCCCTCATATCGTCTTGATCTGTGTCTAGAATTGTATGTTTGATTTCGTACGCCGCCTATTATGTTTCTTGAGTCATCGAATGGCTCCCTATATCTGTTTTTAACATTGTTGCCTCTGCATAGGGAATTCGGTTTGAATTTTTTGCCGCCGTAGTTCATGTAATTGCTCTTGTATTTGCCTGATTGTTTGGTCTATAGTTCTATCAGTATAGCTTTGTCTTCGTTGATCTGGATATTCCCGAGAATGCCAAAATGGCGTTGGTCTACGTCCAGGGTCGCCTCGACTATGGTCCGAAGAGTTCAGTTGTTGAAGTTGCTCCTGAATTTTCCTCAACGTTTCTTCTAAAGGGTTATGATTAGTATCCTTTTCGCTAGTGTTATCTACAGTCCTTATTATTCCCCAGGGTCTTCCCGTCAATTGTTCTATACTTTCTTCGCTAATAGCTATTCGCACCGCCATATCGAAGGTTGACATCACGTGTCGCTTTATCCGATCATTGAGTTCACTCATAAACTGCACTAACAACCGTTTGTGTCGTTCTTTTTGTTGGCACCGTTTTACAACTTCCCGTTCCTGTGCATTATCACTAGGTTGTTCTTTAATAATTTCTATCACTAAGGTTTGCAATCAGACGGCGTAGGTCTGCACGTCTTCTCTAGGCGCTTGCACGCAAGCGTGAAACTTTTGTAATTGTAAAGAGATAGGTTCCTTTTCAAATCTTTTTATCATAAGCTTTTTGAACTCGTCATAAGTTGTTACATCTTTCATCGTGGCATCCTTCCACGCAAAATCTCGGGCTATCCGTTAATCGCAATTTAGCTACTCCTAAGCATTGCGCCTTGGTCCAATTTGTCAATTTACCAATCTCATCTAAGGACTCAAAAAAATCCGTGACCTTAAGGCCATCTGGATCTCCGGCAAAAGATGGTATGAGAGGAATCATGCCCCCAAGTCCGCCTACCGCAGCACTTCCTGCTGTCTCTCCACGCGGCGCGCGACCTTCTTTCCCTTCCATTTTCCTAGTTAGTCTCCGTTACTACTGTATTTTGCGATCATTTCCAGTTCTTTTCTTCGCCTCTGCTGTCACTAGATATTGCAACGTCGATGATCTAAGTCTCCTCCTCTTTCTACTATAATTATATCTGGTATGTTGCGCATCAGTATTTTATCCGTTTGAATTCGAAAGTCTCACGGGATTTTGATTGGTTCTTTTTCCTCTATTTTTTTTTATTTGATGTTCCCATCAGCTCGTAGCGGCGGGAACATTATTGGGCTGCAATTTGAAAAATTATAGACCTATAAATTTCCACTGTCGTCCGTCCGTCCGTCTTTCCTTAATCTCGAGAACAGAGATAGATAGATGAAAGACGGGATATGAAAACCATAGGGGCAAGAGGCCCCGATTAACTGTATACCAACTTCCGTTGCAAACCGGAAATCATGTTATTTCAATTCAAACATTTTTTCCTGAAAGGTGTTAGATGACCCGCACTACTCTATTGTTAAAGGAAAAGTATGATGTACAGATGTAGGTTTAAATTAATCAAATTAAAAATATAATTAAAAATTGCAGCACTGCATTTTGACTATATCACAATAAATAATTGCTCGTTATTTTGCAAATATTCCAGTGAATCATTTTGGTAACTGTATTATCTCCCTGTTTGTAATCAGTCTGCGCGATTCTTGTATGAACTGAGGATATGGTACACTGTTTCGACCATTTATTTGAGCAATTGCATTTTGCATCAACCGACGACTTTTCAATTCTAGCTTTTTTTGCATTTGTACTGATCGCTCACTCTTGGGTCACTAGGATTAGACCTTCTGTTTCTATTTTTGGTTTCCTGGTATTAGTAACCATTGGCAAATTTTGGCGAAGTCCTTTCCTTTGATTTCTAGTGTCGTGCAATGCTTTGCCTTGCCAGTTTTCTGTTCACTCTTTTAAGAAGTTGCTACGATATTCAAGTTTTATATTCGAACCTTCGGCAAACTTCGATTTTTTTCACTTCTACCAGCTCCTGTTGGCCGTTTTTGATGTAATCAGCCAGCGTGCTTTTCTTTGACAGTTTGTCTCGCAATAAACCTCTACCCCACCCCCATTCTGTAGGTATAGTCTGTCGTGTCACTACGAGGATGTAGCGCATAGTAATCGTAAATTTTCTTGTTTTGCGATCTAGTGACCATATCAGCTTGGGTCCAGTTTATGATGCCAGCAGTGTCTTATAACAGGCACGGCACAGGTATTGATGGCTTTTATCGTCTTCAGTTTAGTCTAACTTTTCTGGCCTTTTGTGTGTATTCTTTGCTGATGCTTGCTTTTATTATTTTAACTTTAAAACTTCGGCTATTTTATTCTTTACTATTTTCTAAAACAAAAATTATATATATTCTATCACAGGAATGAAGCGAACAATGATCTCGTTCTTAAGCAGTAACACCATTTTTGATCAGTGCGCATTAAGTTTTTAAGACGATTCAAAACTTTGTCTTCTTTTTATAACGAAACCATAATAACTTAGCTAAATTAAACCACCATTCACAAATAATGATACATAAAAAACAGTGCGAAGATGGTGACGTGAGATGACATCTTGGCGTATATTTGAAGCTGATTTGTATACAAAAATAGAAACATTCGCATTTGCTGGAGAAAGGTCTAATTACTAAAATAATTTTATAGTAATATAAACAAGTCATTACGACTACACAATGCTCATTTTAGAATAATTATAAAGGTTATATATAGCAAATAAGTATAATGTATACGTTAAAGTGAAAAAATAAGATGACAATGCAAATGTTTTAAAAACTATGGCAAAAGGTAAAGAAGCAATTGCATTATGATATGCCACGTGGGGACAATGAAGTATATCAAATTTATTACCTTACTTAATCTTGTAAGATGGATGACTATTATTTTTGCTGAGTATTTTATTTAAAAATTGATAAATATATTTATCAATCCTGATATTCAGCTGAATAATCCTCATTATGTTTATTTAATTCATGTTATTCAAGGATGATAATAATACAGAGAAGTCAATCAATTAGAATATAAAGTTTTTAATTATTATTGGAAACAGGTGTTTAAATACAGTAACTTCTTTTTACAAAGTAAAGAAAGTCCCGCTATGGAGAAAGATGTGTAAGAGGATGATTGTGACATTGAACAAGATGAAAAGAGAGATGCTGTGGAAAAGGGAGACAAATAGTTATTGAACTATTTTATTAGAAAGAGACAGTTACACTACGCGGGATGCATATCTATGTAACTCATAAAGCTTTCTCATAACAAATACTTTATTATGAGAATTAAAGATAAATTTAAATATTTTAATGTAAATTTAAGCAACTTCCTCTAGATTTATGTCAACTGTTGTATGATTTAATAATAATAATAATAATAATGTGCATAAATTTAAATATTTTAATGTAAATTTAAGCAACTTCCTCTAGATTTATGTCAACTGTTGTATGATTTAATTGTGTTCAATCAGAGAATTGATTAGGGATAAAAATATACATTAAGAAATCAACATTGTAACTTNTTAATATCTTTTAACTTAAATATTTTAATGAATAAAAAAATTTTAACGCAAATAATTCAAAAACTCTTTCCCTTTCCCCATTTTTTCTCTTGCAATGTTTTTCTGTTCACAACACAAATCAGAAAACTTCTACAGTACCTTTTTAAAAAGTTTTATAACACCTTGTGCGTGTTTCCTCCATTTTACCTGTCGATAAAAATGCTTAATTAAGATGATTTTATTTAAAATGCTTTTTTTATGCAATAGTAATAGCTTAAATTATTTTTTGTTTCATATAACATTTCAAAATTCGATTTCGCCTATACAAAGGTTAAAAAAAATCTTCGTATGCAAAATGCACGGTTTCCGTATATTCCACGTCACAAAATACAACACCTCCGTGAGGTGTTGAAACTCTTATTCTCGAAGCAGACTTTTGTTGCGCTCAGCAATGAGTGAAAGAACAAAAATGATGTCGCGCTTAACTCGGTGCTTAACCCCTCAAGAACGGCTACTGCCTTCAAAACAACGCGCAGAAAACAATAATGAATTACAAAATTACTTATTATCAATATGAAGTCTAGTTTGACTCCTGACTTTCCACGTGGTAATAAACTTCTCTGTAAAACTTTTTGTACGAAAGTCCTACACGAACGTGCAGAACTACTAAAAACATAGACACGAACCTAAACCAATCCCTTATTGTACGCTTATGTTAAAATATGTAAATAAGACACAGAGTCCTTTGCTGTCAATGATAATTAAAAAATTTCAACATTAAAAATTGATTACATTTCAGGTGTTTCTTAAGAAAAATATCAAGAACGTTTTACTTAACACTGCCGTCAAAGGACACTATTTCTTTTTTGCATATCTTAACATAGGCTTTAGTTTATAACAAAAGATCTATCCACGTGCGTTTTAATTAAGATTTTCTGCACGCAATAGAAGTTTCTGTGCAATTTTATTTTGATAGTGATTTTCTACAATGTCGAAATTAATAAATCAATTTATATGCGCTGTACAATTCTAGGTTCACCTCCGAACAACGTCCTGTTTTTACGTTCCAGTAAGTGGCTGCTGTTCGAAACTCCGTATAGAGTAAGATTTGGTAATGAGGTGATAGATTTTGGTTTTGATTGAAGTAATTAAATTGTACTAACGTGAGTGAAAAGATTTTATTCTGGTATTATCCTATGAAAGGCTTTATGCTTGGCCTATCATAATATAATCTTATCTTTGACACAGAGCAGTGCCGTGCTATGATGCATTATTATAGTTGGCAATGAAGTGATAGGTGAAATAACTTACTAATTTTCTAAAAAAACGTTTTTATTTTTGTTTTCTTTGGACATTTGGCTAGGTAATTTCGTGATATTACATTTATACAAAGGACTTATACCAAATTACTCGTGATTCCATGCGAATATCATCAGCATTTCTGCTCGAATTTCACACGATAAGGGAAATTCATTTGAAGACCCGTGGTTCCAGAAAGTCATAATTTCAAAACAAAAATATATAGAACAAATTGGACAGTGGTTAAGAAAATAATAGCAACACTGCTATCGCCACCATCGTAACAATGGTCTACGGCAGGGGTCGGCAAAATGCTGCTAAGGACGCAATAAAAATCTTTTAAAACCGTCGAAGAAGCATTTCTAGAAATCACAATGTTGTTATAAGTACGTTTTGAAATTTGTATATTTTTATGCAAAATAAAGATTATATATGCATGTAATAATTAAAAAATGAAAACTAAAAGTATGTAGGCTTATATAACATAATATAAAATCAAATTAAGTAAAATTACAAGTATATATATTTGCGTTTGCGTGACTGGTTCTACAGAGCGCATCCGAAATGCACCCGCCTTGCTGACCCCTATTCTACAGAAATTCTGCATTTTTCCAAGCACAATTGCAATTTAAATTCGAAACAAGAAACTCTTAAAGTATTCGAGCAATACAAAAAGTTCCACGAAAATCAGCAGCGTCAAGACTCTCCTCCGTATTACACTATTCGCTTATGTCACAATAAAGCCCAAAAATTTAAAATAGACTTTTTCAGCCATCTATGGTGCAAATTCTAACCCTCTAGCTCTAATAGTAATGTACTGATTCATCATCATCATCACCACGTTACCGGTATCACCAAATTATCGATCCTTACCCTATATAAATAATTTGTCACTTTCGTGTAAAACATTAATTCACAAAAAATTTTAACATTTCAGTTTTAAACTGAATAGTTTGCTTTAATAGTACGTACAATATGTATATGTATATGTGCACTATTATTAGCTTATATATATATATATAAATAGTGAGTGTATACGCACTATTTTTAAGATTAGGAGTGAAGATGACCTCGCAGGTAAAGAATTTTACTCGGTTTCGATCATATCACCATAAAATAAAAATGTGTGAGTATTTATATACATTATTTCTTGATATAATTTTTAATTCACACTTACATAGCCTTACAATTAATGATTTGTGGCAATGAGTACAATTGATTGTGGGTATTTACTTCCTTTATTCGGGACTGTATTCTCATTTCTATTATTTACAGAATTAGATTTACAATTTAAATGATAAAAATAATGTATTCATTTGCAATTTCATATTCGTATTTAATCTATTATTCTTGAGCAGGAGAAAAAAATAAAAACCGTTTTCATATAATTGGTTCATTCATTTTTGTCCTAATAATATACACTATGACATCAATTCGACGTCATTCTTATAGTTTTCTTATGAGAAAGTATGATAATGATGTTAACTCGACGTAAAAGTGCACCTAATATTGCAAACTTTTTAAAATTTATTTTAAAAAATGATATTAATCGGTTCCAAATTACAAAATTAAATGATAAATTCCACAAAATTGAGTAATCGTTAGATATTGTCTGCAACGATTATGAAAAAGAAAAAAAGTATTTGTTTCTTTATTAGAGAAAATATGCAGTTAAGTAAGATGTAATTTGAGTTATCTTAAAAATTGTCAATAAATTTTCAGCAATTAATTAATTTATCCCACAATTAAATAATAGGATTAATAATAAAGATTAGGATAAGAAATGCTAAATTAATCGTGTTAATTCATTTTAAAATATTATAAAATTGCATTATTTATTCTAGAACTATTATAAAATCATAAATAATCTATAGATTATTTCATATAATTATTTTATATATACTTACAGGAGATAGATAGATATACAGCGCTATACATATTATGAGATAGAGAAGATTAAAGCTATTATAATAAAAAGTGTCATAATATTCTTTTATTTAACAAATTATATTATTCATACATTACGAGAAATGAAATTAAGATCATTAACTCACTGCAAAGGATATATTTCGATTATATCTCTGGAATCAGGAACATCAGCCCGACTTATTATTTAATTCGATTTCGTGTGTGAATTAATTTATCGAATTTTTAACAAACTTCATTTTAATAACAAATTTAAACATTAACAGAACAAATAACAAAATTTTTTAAATAATATTCTTGTTAATATATACAATTTTCCTTCTTTTATATGCAATAATGAATCGTAACCGATATTTTATTTTATCGTTTGTAATAATTGGAAACATTTCAGAATTTTTTAATGTTAATCAACTTATATTAAGACTGTTTCTTTGAATTTCAGAAAGTTTGTGCTATTATTTGAAATATTTTCATATTTTTTTTTCACATTCCTAAATAATAAATAGTGTCTAGAGCAGTGTAATGAAGTGTTTCTTATACTGGTCGACTGGCAATGTACTTTCCAACTTGTCGGGGAGGTATTTTGCCATATTAATGTGTTATTGAATACGAGGGTCAAGGTACCTTATATAACATTATCTTGGTATCTAAATATGACAGTACATACTGTAAAAGTGTGACATATTTATTAATATATATTCTCCTTATGCAACTTTTGAAAACATAAAAACGTGGAGAAAGATAATACCTAGGTTTTAACTTAGTATTATCTTTCTGCGTGTAGTATTGCCTAATGCAAATAATATAAATAAGTGATATACATACATTATTTAGTAGCATGTTGACTCTTCTGAGACAAGCACTGATCTATAGATCACTTCCAGTAGCACTAGTAAAATAGACTAAGTTTTTATGAAGAAAATATTTAGTTTTGTATGAAACAATTCAATTTTATTCTTATTTTAATTCTATTAATATAATTTTATGTATAAAAATAAATATGTATTACTAGATAATCTCTGAACACTTGGCGATCGTTCGAGGACCCCCCCACTTTGGGAAACGTTAGAATTAATAATGAAATTATACGGTTTACATATATAATATTCTTATCTATAAGGAAATTTATAAATTGTATCATATAAAAATTTAAGAAATTTTATTACGTTAAAATATATTAACGTAATGAACTTTTAACGTAATAAATTATACATTATATATATATATATTATTTATAAAATATAAATGGTGTAATAATTTTTTAAACATGTAGATCATACATTACTTTATACTAATATTATCGATGTAACTTTAAATTTTATAAAGTTACATTTAACATTGAGTAGCGAGTACAGGATAACAATGAGAACTGAATAACATATTTATAATTAACGTAAGTATAGTGTTTTAGATAAAAATTTATATTTATCAGTTAGATCAATCAGAAAGTTTATAAATTAATAGTGAGAAGGTGGGCTGTGGAGGCTTTATACAGGCCTACATTTTCGACAGGGTCCTAGTGCAGATCGGTCAAAGAATTTAGAAATGTATAGAGAATAGATAAACATTCTGTTATGTATATATATGTATGTGTATAGATGATATTATTAATGTAAATATAAAGTACTTTAAACACAAATTTATATTTATTTTTATTTTCTAAAATTTAAACACTTAAATTTCTTCTTAGTTGATGTCATACATTTCATGTAATGTATTTAGAGGCCGCTTAATATATTATAGTATTATTCTAATTAAAATTATTAATTTATTAAATATGATAAAACAAGGAAATATTTCATCATAACGTGAATATATTAACAGTTCCGTTGCATATAAAAGATCCATCTGCATCCGTACGTAAACAAACGATAAACTTCTTAAGGAAGTGAGTAAAATTTTATTATTAAAACTATATAAATCTTTTTTTTTTTAAATTTAATTTTAAAAATTATTTAAATTTAAAATTTAAACCAAGTAAAATTGTTATGCGAAAGACATTATTTTCCTTTCTTTGTGTATTGATTTAAGATGTTATTAATCATTATTTTTTAAAGTTGATTATTTTTTTTTGTCCTATATAAAACACTTATAAATCGAGGACTATTATTTTCTGGTTCCTTTAATGATGTAACTTTTATATTAATGCTAACAATTTTCTTAGTGAGCGTTACTCGTCTTAAACTTTAGAAAGTTTCGTAATATTTGAATGACCCACATACCACAAAAATATAATCTTGTATTCACCTTTCTTGTTTTCGTTCTAGAGCTCCGAATATTTGAATTTAAAACACGAGTAAAAGTATCGTCACCTAAAGAAAGGTAAATACTATTTATATCAATATTTATTTAAGTATTTTATTATTGGTCATTGGCACTACTAAAATTTACGTGTAGCCTACTTCATTTAGAATCAACTGTTATTTGTAGTTTTTGAAATTGTTATTGATATACTTTTATACGTAATTTTACTTTTTATTATTGATAAAAATACGTATGTATTGTATACAGAGCCTCGCTCAGTCGTCGTTTTTTTCGTACCTCAGACCGAGCAGCAGGACACGCGCTCAGAAGGGCCTCGCACTTTGAAATTTGAATGAAAAAAAGTTCCGTTTTGCAAATATTTTGAGGCCCCACTAATGACTTTTATACAGAAGCCTCCAGACGGCTTTTGATTGTACGTGAATTTTGAGATGAACTCTATAATGTGTCCTAATTTGAATAATCCTTGTACTAATTTTTTTGCAGTATTTATAAGTATTAGACCTTAAATATTGGAATTAAAAATTAGTCAACCTGATTTTTTGAACGATTTTAGTAATATTTAATGAGACCTCATTCACTTTTAGTGAGAATCAAGTCGAAGAAATGGAAAATTCGAAAGATATTGAAGATTTAACCGATTTGATTGGACATTACGGAAAATATCAAAAATTATTACTTGGACTGGTAATATATGTGGGCATATTTTCTGCCTTTAATAATCTCAATTTGCCGTTTCTGGCGCCAAAAATAGATTACTGGTGTTCGAGATTACCGCAGTATCTTAATACGAGCATAGAAGAGTGGAAAAATTTCAGCATCCCTAAAGAAATAAGAAACGGTAAACACGTTTACAGTAAGTGCGAAATTTATGAAGAAACGTATAGAGGACATTATTCTATAGACTCACCTTCTGTCCCTTGCTCTTCTTGGGAATACGATCATTCCAATTACAAGTCTACTATAACAGAACAGGTATTTGTATACTATTTATTACGAAATTTAATTAAATATTATCTTTCAAATTATTTAAAAATATATATTTTATGTCAGTGGGGTTTAGTATGCGAAAATTCGTGGATGATATCTTTTGCTGGTTCTATATACTTTGTGGGATTTTTGATAACAGCTTTCGTGTCTGGGCAACTTTCTGACAGGTAAGTTCGATTTATCACTTATAATATTAGTAATAAACAATTTTATTGTAATTGTTAATAAATAAAAACATAATAAATCGATTAATTATAATAAAAATACGTAATAAAAGATCGACTTTTATACAGTCGAAGTGTTTTTTTCACAACTTCCTAATTAATAAATTCATGTAATCCGTAATTAAATAATGCACTGTAAATTAACCCGAATTAGAAATATGGAAATATTTAAATTAAATATTAATGTTATCTCAGTAGACATGGCCCATATATAACAACGGATAAACTTTCGAAAGAAATAAACCTTTATCTTCAGATATTAAAAGCTTTCACGTACGAATGCATATCGAGAACATCTCGGTGTACTGTACGTCTGTATTACAATATAATTCATAATTATTTTTATTAATTTACATGAATTTTTTAAGACGGACATACATTAGGATTTTACGAGAGATTCGTATAAATCCCATTCAATTCACACAGAAATTAATTTTTGGGAGGTTTATATGCCGTTACTTACGGACCGAGTTCGTGCCGTTAACATTAATAGTAAAATAAAGTGTGTTCTAATGATGATATTCTACTTACTTATGATTTAATTATTTGATGTTTTAATATTATTAAACTTTATTTAAAATGTAATTTTGTTTAAACATTTTTCTAAGTTAACATTATATTCGCTTATCATACAGTTGAGTTATTTTTCACCATATTATTGTAGGTATAATATAAACAAAATGAAGTAGTAAGCTCAATTTTTACATGGATAATTTACAGCCGAAATTTCGGTTCTAAATTATCATTTATTTAAATTTAAATTGGCTTTTATTTCCATCAAATAAATTAATTAATGATATACATCGCGGATTCGGTTTTAGTTTCACTAGAAAAACAAACAAATAAAAATGAAAGTATAAATCGCTGAGCAAAGGATTAACTATGTTAATATTTATTCAAAGAATTCCTATTTTGTATAGGCTAAATAATCCGGGAACTTCAATAAATTAAAATTTATTTATATAAGATAACGACAAAATAAAACTTCTATTCATTTTTATAATTGTTTATTAGTAATTTATAAATATCAGAAGGATCCTGTAAGAATTACGAAATATATTGATTGGGATAATTAATTATATATCGCGGGTATTCCATAGAAAATATAAAACAAACCTAAACAGAAAGAAAAAAATATGTATAAAAACAATTACAAATAATTTAATAGAGTTTTAAAAATTTCACTAAAATACAGTAATCAATTATAAAAATAAATATTTTAAATGAGAAATTTCTGTATGCTTTTGCTCCAGCGAAACAGCATTGGACCGCCAACAGTTTATTAATTAATGGATCACCTCGAGATTTCATTTAAAATTTTAAAATTTTAAATTCATTTTAATATGTCATTTTATATATTAAGTTGATAAAACTATTTTTAAAACTCCAGCAACGAGTTGAGTAACTTTCCCGTCAAGAGTTAAAAATTGTGTGCTGCGCCATCTGTTACGAGATTTTAAGAAAGAAAAGTTTTTATATTATTAATTATTATAAAATGGCAAAAAGCTTAATTTTGAGAATAGAGACGAGTTTGATTTTTTTTTTTTTGTTTTTTTAGTTGCAAATTCTAATAATGAATAAAATGTTCATTAAGTCCTTCCCCACTCGAGATATGACACATGACCGCCTTTATCTCCCCACCCTTCAACTACCAAACTTTAATAGCACCAATGCCCCTAATACACAAACATCCCCGAAAAATTTCTGAATTTTTCGACAAAAGGCACGCGAACAAAGTCTTGTCCTCCTCCCACAGAAAAGAAAACCTTTGTGGTTGACTACAAATTACTTGAAAATGGTCCACAAATCATTTCTTCATAATAATTAAAACCAGCATTTTTTCTTGTTATTTCGGTGTAAAAATTAAAGAAAACACGAAAATTATAGGAATATAAATGTGATTTTGTTTATGACTACAAACTGATCAGCAAATACGTTTAATCTTTCTGTTTTTGTACGAGAGAATGACTATGAAATTCACATATAAGCAAATGAATTTCATAACTTTCTACTGTTAACTGAAAGTGTTTGTACGCATTCTGAACGTTAAGTGAATTATAATTAATGTCTTGCTTTTAATTGTTTAACAAACACTGATTCAATTCTCATTTTATAAAAAGTAATTAATTAAATTTAATACAGAATCCATACAAACGATTCTATTAATCGCAGATAAACATAACTTGGGGTTGATTTATCCGCTTAACTTCAATACCAATTACAAACGCTTTCGTCAATTTATATAATTTAATATTAATTAAAACACAATATTTTATGTTCTTAATAATAATGATCTTTATTAATGTAAAATGCAGTTCATAAAATCTTTAATAGGTAGTACTAACTAAACTTATTGTTGCATTACTGCCTACAAACACATCCTTTAAGTGTTTGTTAGTAAGGCAATTGTAGTTTTTACTGTTTAATGTTTTTAAAATACGTTCACTTTAACAGACTTTCGGCAATACTGGATACCTCTTTCTTTGATTAATTCGTTAAATCGAGGACCTGGTTTGTTATAAAAACCATACCTTCTTTATTTGGCTTTAAGGGTTTAAATTACGATCTTATTTATTAATTTATATTTTAATATCATAAATATTTTTATTTGTTTTAAAAATTATTTAGAAAATTTTACAAGTGAACTAATTACTATTAAATATTCAATTATATTATTTAATATAGATCATTTTGAAATTCCACAGATAGAAATAGTTTTTAAGAACAATGCGTTCAGTTATTTTAGCCTACCATTGTTCATTGTTGTGTTTTTTACAAATTATCCAGGGGAAAATCAAGGGGAAGGAGTGGGGTGTTGAGGTTTTATGGTAGTTTGTATTATCCGCAGGATTCCTATAGAATAACTATGAGAAATTTGAACAAATATAAATACTATATTTTCAGCTTCGATTGACTCGTTTTTGGTTCTGCTAATTGCCAATGCTTGCATTTTATGTATCAGTTTTATGTTTAATGATCCAGATATTTAATCATAAAAACTACTTTGATTTTAAATAAATGCATGTAAATACAGCATTCTAAATGTGTCCATATACCATATATACAATATCTATGCAATTCGGTAGAATTATAAGTAGTATAATAATGTATGTTCTAGGCCACTAAATTTAAGGTCTTTAAAATTCAGTGAATTTAATCAAAATCAATAGTAAAATTCACTGAATTTAAACAAAAAATTAACATCAATGAAATCTCGTTGATTTATTTCAAAAAGTAAATATAAAAAAAAGTCAAACAAACTCTATAATATGTGCTTTATAGTTATTCCCACAATCTTTCATACCCCTGTATAAAAATTTTAAATCTTTCATATCATCTAAATGTAAATCTTCGTCCTCTAATTTTTTATTAAATTGTTCTGGAAGAAAAACTTGAAATTCACTCCATTCTTCATCCTTAAGAACTACTGTTTTTTTATAACCAAAGCATGTTGATACTGTTTTAAAATATTCGATATTCATAATCAATTTCCAATTCATATAATTTCCTATTTGGAGTATTTTGAACTTTTCCAATATTATTTAGTTTCTTCTTTGTTTCCATTTATATAGGAAAAAATTAGTTAGTATAAATCTCACCAGTAGTTTTTAAAATCACTGACATAGTTTTAACTTGTAAAGGGTCGCGTATTCAAGAAGGTTGAAAAACACTGGTATAAATTAAAAATAATGAAATAGAATATCTCAAAGATTTTTGAAAGACTTCCTCATTGGACAGATATTTTCCTATAGTTTTAACTGCAATTATATATCTTATATTGAATGGAATAGTTTCATTTATGACTAAAGGGGTATATTCTTCTTCATTTTTAAAAGAAAATGCTAATTTTTCATTGATAAATATACCCACAGATATTGAAATATTACATTTAAAATAAATCTTACTAATAAGTATTTATATGACTCATCAATAAGACAATCGCCTAAGGTTAAATTAAATGATACACCTTCTGCTGGTTTTTCTAAATGCATAAAACCTCTTAAGATGAATGAATGGTTAATTTTAAAATAATTTTCGAGATATGATTTTGTAACTGCATCCATACCATTCATTGGATTTTTTAAATTAGTTACTTTTTTATTATTAGCATCAAACACATCATCTTCATTTATGGTTAAAGCATTATTCTTTAAATATATTTTATTCACAACATTTTTGTCTTCCACTGGATCATCGACATTTCCAATTCTTTTGTTATTTGCATTGAAAGCACCATTATACATTTTGAGACATCTAGTATCTAATGTTAGAAGTTTTTTACTCGTTTCTGTTATGAAATTATTAACGTTTAAATTTAATTCATCAATATTTTTTTCTGAATTAGTTTTATCTGTTATGTGATCTTCTAATATATTTAATTTATTAGCATTTTCTTTGGTAAAAGTTTGAAAATCGTTATTTAATTCATTGATTATTTTTAATTTATGTTCTAATTTTTTATCAATATATTCCTTAGTTGCTGCATCGTTTTCGTCTATTGGTTGTTTACAATATTTTAAGATCTTATTTTGCACATCATAATTTCCATCATACGTTAATTTGAAACCATTACCCGGAGGTCCCGGAAGACCCTCTCTTGCTTTATCATAATAACCAAAAGGATACCAAGCCATTTATTAAAGGAAAAATTCACTTCAAAGTTTTAATGGTTTCAAAAGTCCTGTTGTACAGTACTGTACATGTTCATAATTCCTTTACGTTTCTCGACTAAAATAAGCAGGTGTTTGTCTCAGTTGCCAAAAGAATCCAACTTTAAGATTATCTACGTTATTATACGAAGGGTGATTTGATACGTCAAAATGAATTATTGGATACAGTCTTTCATAGTTTGTATAACTTACTAAACAACCAGACTCTGTGTTATTGGTATTTAATTCCACCGCTAAGAAATCAGAATAATATCTCGAATAATCTAATTCTCCGGGTTTAAAGCTAACATTATAATCTTCTGTTGGATATTTATCATTATTAATTCTTAACCAACATCTAATCATATCTAAGTTATCGAATATCATATTATTTTGATTCTGATCGTTTTCCTTTTTTTGATATTGTGGAATTATAAAAGTATTTCTGGTTTCATCAGTGGTTGTATTTACAATTATTGTACCGCTAGAACCATTTTGAACGTTACTTTTAATTAATCTAACAGAACACCAATTAATTTCTATATCTGAGGGATTTAGAGATACACTATTAAAATTAACTTGTGGTTCTGGATATAGTTTAATATGTGGCAACCAAAGTGAAATATCAGATATTATAACTTTATAATTCGGATTGTCAACGTCGGTATAGATCATATCGTTATTTGAATTTCTCCAGAACACAAATCTAACATCAATATTTGATATTATTTTCCTAAAGTCGTTGAAAAATCCAAACATCTGTTTAATTGGTATCCACAGTTTGATCTTGTTACTGTTTTTGGTTAATATCCATCGTTCTGTAAATCCTTCGTTATAATTTACATTTTTCTTTAACCCTTTTAAAAAGGTCTCCATTTTTTCTCCTTCCAAAGTGGATCCTTCCAAGAGATTGATCATCGGGTCCATCAAATATTAAAATTTGCTTATCTGGTGATTCTGAGCTGTCAATGAAAAACGGCATATTGGTTGCTTCTGAAATAGAATAATCTTTTGTAAAGTTCATAAGACCGTTAATGTGATGAACTAAAGAGGATAATTCAATTTCTTCAATTAGTGTCTTACCAATGTGTAATTCAGATCTTGAGAATAGATTTCCAGTATTTACCAAGGTTACGTTATCACTTTCGATCGAAGAACCATCCTGTTTCATAATTTTGTACTCAAAACTTTCGATTTCGTTGTTGTAATAATTAGGAAGAGTTAAATCCCAAATCTTTTCCATTTATTAGAATAAAAATCTCGTGAAGTTTTCCTTTACTTAGATCAATTTTATATCCAGGTTCTAAATGAATTATAAATCTCGTTGTTGCGAAATGAATTCCAAACTTTATAGGAGGTATTCCAAAAAATTTTTCTAAAAAGTCATTTAGTTCTTGAAGAGTGTAATTTCCATTTTCTATCGTTACGTCATACCACTTTGTTTTATCAAAAAATCTAAAAGTATTGTTATTAAATTTTTATCGATATTATGCCAAGAAACCCACATAGACATTGATTTCAGAGCTAATTTTGAATTATTTACGGGTATTGGATTTTTAAACTCAATTGTAAAGTCTTCTGATTTATCAGCATTTTTCGAATCTAAGACTATTAGTTTCATTTATATAAAACAAAATTCTCATTAAACTCGCTCGGTTCTTGTGTAAATGAGTATAGAACTTCAATGGGAGATTTTCCTTTATTTCTTTCTACTATATATTTCACGCAATAGTAACCACATCTAACAGATGTAGGATTCTGAAGAAAACTAGAGTTATATCTTATTTCTTTTTTAGATGTCTTTAAATGTTTTATGATTTCTTTTGGAATTATCTCTCTTTTCAATCTTACATTTTTTAACTTATATTCACCAAAAGGATCAGTGTATTCAAGGGATATTTAGGATATTTAGGATCATTATAATAACAAACCCAGTGTGTACCATCTCCAGTTAAAATATCTAAATTAATTATATCGTTTTCAAATTTTCTAATTGTTTTCGGTAATAGATCAACCGTAAACACACCTCTAAATCCTTTTTCGTTTTTTAAATTATCATTTATCGTCTCGTTGGATATTCCCAATTCTGAATTACTCCTTTCCCCCCTAATTTGAAATTTGGCCATATTGAACCTAAAGGGCCTGAGGGAAGAAGGAGACCACCATTTTTTTTATTACATCCTGATCCAGTTACTTTATCTAAAGCTTTTTTGGCTTCCCATAATATTTCATTGATGTTAATTTTTTGTTTAAATTCAGTGAATTTTACTATTGATTTTGATTAAATTCACTAAATTTTAAAGACCTTAAATTTAGTGGCCTAGAACATACATTATTATACTACTATTATATATTCAAAACGACGTCTGACAGTGAAATATATATATAAAAATACGTTATATATTTGAATTATTGAATATTTCGATGTGTTTATAAACACTATTATTTAGAAATTTAATAATAATTAATATTAGAAGACATTAATCGGATGACTAATCATTGTACTGTACAGTTCAGTGTCAAGGTAAAATAAAAATTTATTTTAAGGATATTTCAAAGACACTTCTGTTCTTATTAAAGTAATATAAGCCAAAAAAATTAAATGTTTTATGCATTAAAATATAGAAAAACATTTTACTACTTATGCAAGTTAATTATAATAATAAAATTGATTTATGTTTTCAATGCGTATAAAAAATTTCACCTTGAAATCGTTATCGCCTTTCTTATACAGCATTTTGGCTATAAAATAAAGAGTTGCGGGTATTTGGATTTATTTTACAGCAGTGATAACTTCCATTTAAGCTTTAATAAAACTCTTTTTCTTATAAATGCTTTCTTATTGATAAAGTTTATATCAATAGTAATTTTATAAATGGATTCATAAATATCTTATACTTTTCTCCCTTATGTTTCTTAATAACATAGATTAGCTATCTTTTTAGTTAAGTAACATTTAATATACCGTAATTTTCAACAAACGTTTTGTATTGCACGTTAATTTTAAATAAATTTTAGATTATTTTTACTATAACTTTTTTTTTTATATTTAAAGGTTTGGCAGAAGGCCTGTAGTTTTATCCTGCATTATAATCAATTCAGTATTTGGAATTACTTGCACCATTTCGCCGTATTATTGGATGTTTGCAACCTCTCGATTTTTGTTATCATTTGGAAGAGCGGGCCTTTTCCTTTCTTGGCTCATTCTTGGTAAGTACAAACGTAGAAATAAATCTTTTTAAATATATATTATTGGAATATTAAATGAGAAATAAACATTATATTCAAATTATGAGACGTTATATGTACAGAATGAATTATGGGGATGCTTATATATTTTTAAGAGATATCGATATATGAACATTTGAAAGATGTATTCTACATCAACATAAAAATCTTTCGTTTATAACATTCAAATTAAAGTTAATAAAAGTATTTTTGTACATTAATATAAATACAATTTAATGAAATGAAATTTGTACCAAAAAATGCACAGTAAAGCCTCGCTTTATTGTCACCCATGAAATCCCCTATAAAACTGCATAATTTTCAATATAAATCAGACTCCACCTTGGTGCCCATTGATCACTTCACTCAAGTGACTAAGATAGAAGCGTCTTAAAATGATATTTATCCTCATTTTACGTGGCTAAAACAATAGAAAAATCCCACGTTCCTAAATTCAACCTATTGTTTACAGCAGTTTAAACAGAATTGAGCTTTGTTGCTATAGTTTTTGTAAGGGTCTGAATAATAGGCCCAGCCACATAAAATTTTATTAAAACCCCCGTACGCGATCTTATCAAAATTTTTAAACGGATGCTCATCCTTCTTCTGCCGGAAACTACTTCCTCCCTCACCGGATTCTCAACCGGAGTTCTGATGACAGTCATCACCGATAAGTACGATTGGTAATTGTAATCATGTGATCCCTAATATAAAAAGGTGGTTGCTATCCGAAACGGGGGTCGGAGAAGTCTCTCAACGAACTACATCCGATCACCTCTCGATCAACCCAACCCAGATCATCATCTGTATCGCCGACAGAATCCGATCCGAACGCCGATCGCCGCACCTGGTTGAACGACGAATCTCGACGAATACGAAATTGAACTCGTCCAGAGGTATGATCGCTGACCATGTAAACTCTCTCTCGGTACTACGCGGAAGAATATAATTAGTATAAATGGATTATTAAATGTTCGTTTTTCTTGCATTTTGGGTGTTGTCTATTCGAATATCGCCTAAGCCAAACTGACGACCCTCTCATCTCCTTTACCGCTCTTAGAAAACGCGTCCCGTTGTTACGGGGTAATAATCTTGAACGGCTATCTCCTGACTCGTGAGCGAATTGCCGTTGTCGGACTAACGGAAGTAATTACTCGGGTCCGATATCTCACAGATTGGTTTTTCAGGAGTGGGGTTCGACTCTCGAACTGTTGGTAAAGCGATGAGGCTATATTCGAATAATACGACGATTCGATTTGAGTAGGGTAGAAACCCCGAAGTTAGTAGATAAGTAATTTAATAAATATAGATAATGGAGGACGTACCCCATCCCGTGGAGGACCCTGCTAATCCGCCCCCTAATCCTAATCCAGCGCCGGCCCCTCTCACGCTAGGAGGGTTAGGTGGCATTATTCCTTTATTACCCGTATTCTCTGGAGAGACCGGAGGCCCCAGGGTAACGGACTTTTTCGATTCTTTGACTGATGTTATGAAGGTAGCTGCTTGGTCAAATGCACAAATGCTGGCAGTTGCGAAGTTAAAACTCACTGGTATTGCCCGGGAATTTGTAAGAAAAGATAGGCGAATAAAGGAAGTTGACGATTTCACCTCTAATGCGGCGTGGTCCTACAGGAATTTATAACCATAATAACCCTTATAATAATTCACCTTCCCGGCGAGGTGTGCATCGTCCGATTGTCCCTAATCATCGCTCCGCGCGACTGAACTCCCAGACTCACCAAAATCAGCGACGGAATTGGAATTCACCCGTCCGTCGAAATAACAACGGCCCTTACCGGCCAATGCCTCCGAGAAACGAATCACCCTCGAGACGTGACGTCGGGAATGAACGTAGTCGGGTCCGATTTCAATCCCCTTCCCCCGAGCAACCTCAGCATAGGTGGAAAGGGCAGGTACGAAGCGTCGATGGTCGCCGCACTCGATATAGAGTATGCCAAGCCGCTCTAACACCTTATCACAGGGCTAGACATAAAAGGGATTCTTACATATCACCTAAGCAGCCGCTGGATAATCCGCCGAACGTGAGGAAGCAAGACCAATCCCTTTCCTCCCAATCTACTAATTGTACAAGTAACCAAGGCGAAGCCATTTTCGAATTGTATTATAGGAGGGAACCCAGCCACAGTACAAGTGGACACGGGAGCTAAGGTGTCCCTGCTGTCTAAAGCATTCGCGAGTAACTTACAAGAGCGAGTTAACATCGAGTATGATAGGGAAACTGATCTGAGAAGCGCCACTGGGCATCCTATACAAACCTATGGTATTATAACCCCCTCTTTCAGGATCGGGAACCTGCAGTTCCCTTTTTCATGTTGCTTGGTTGATATTGATATTACCTACCCTTGTGATGGTATTATTGGTAGGGATATGATTATGGAAAGAGGAATGATTATCGATTTACAGGGTGGAGGACTAACTATTCCTCCCCAAACGCTGGTTCCGTTTTTACGCTCCTCACCTACTAAACAGTTAACGGACAAGGAAACCACTAAGGTAAATAAAGAGCACTTTTTAACTGAAGCACCCCGCGAAAAAGAGGGCTCCGAATTACCAAAGAAAATGGCCAAAGGGAAGGAAGTAGTGTTAGTGGAAACCTGTCGGCTTCCTCCCATGACCGATAATATAGTGACTGCTACAATTTTAGAAGTCAAGAGTAGTAGCAATACTCTCGGAGTAATCGAGACAATTCCCTTCCCCCAGGAGGGGATAACGGGTAAATGTGCTAGTTACACCCAATAAACGGGGACTAGTCCCCCATACGTCTGTGTAATACTACACGCACAACGATAAAATTGATAAAGGAAACTAAGGTTGGCATGTTTTTGGAGGCCAGCGAAGATACTGATCCCGTAAATCTTGTTAACCAAGGAGCCACTGCATCCTTATCGAAAACGGAATTTGGTCAGCTCTTTGATTGGACCAACATTCCAGAAGACGAGAAACAGTCTCTTTTGGCCCTATTGTATCAATATCGACATGTCTTTGCCGTGAATGATTATGATCTAGGCTATTGTGACATCGTACAACATACGATTGACACAGGAAATGCTAACTAAAATATCCAAATCGTTTTATTGGCCAGAGATGAGAAAGGAAATAAGAAATTATTGCCAAAGTTGTCAAAGCTGTGCTAAACATCGTCGACGTGGACACCGTGCACAGGCAGAACTGCAGTTGTTTTCACCTCTCTCTCACGTGTTTGAACGTGCCGCTATGGACATCGTTGGACCGCTACCAATGACAACTAACGGAAATAAATATATTCTGGTTTTCGTCGACCATTTCAGTCGATACGCCGAGGCTGTTCCGCTTCCGGATGTTAATAGCAAGACGATTGCGAAAGCATTCGTCACTCACATAATATTACGACATTCTACTCCAACTCAACTGTTAACGGATAGAGCCCCGAATTTAATCTCGAAGATGTTTCTCGAGGTATGCAACTTATTACATATAAAAAGACTTCTCACTACCGCATATCATCCAGCCAGTAATGGCGTGGTAGAGCGATTTAATAAAACATTAATCGTCATTTTATCTCACTATGTCACCAAAGATCAACTGGACTGGGATGACTGGATACCATACGCTTTATTTGCATATAATACGTCCATTCACGCCTCTACAGACGAAAGTCCTTTCTTCCTTCTATACGGAAGAGACCCTACTTACCCTTTTGATTTAGTCACTAGTCCTGCAAAAGTGTCTTATGACTTAGAAGATAATTTTGCCTCCGAACTACAACAACGAATGAAGAACGCTCACGAAACGGCGCAACGCTATTCGAAACAGGCTGCCGAAGTAAGGCGAGAACGTCACCGCCGACGGAATACTCCTCATCGATACCGAATAGGAGATAGGGTATTGCTAAAGGAAGTCATCACCCCGAGGGGATTAAAACGAAAACTAGCTCCACGGTGGCCAGGACCTTATCGTATCATTGAAAACCTCGGGCCTGTTAACTTCACAATTGAACATATCCAAACAAAAAGGAAGCTACATGTACATGCTGACCGCATTAAGCCGACTGTAGCTAGAAGGGAGTTTCTTCTGAATGACGATCCGACTGCCAATTTTCCCGACATACCAAAGGAATCCGATCAACAAACCTCTAGTCACCAACAACCGTTACTTATCGATCCTTGGGATGAGTTTATTCTAAACTCTATACCTGTCCCATCACCTGAATTAGATAGCGATCATGAGAGTGAAAAACCTGAAGGGGAAAGAGACTCCGCCGATTCCGAAACGGAGGCGGAAACCGAAATTACGCCTCCTTATGCCCTTCGGAGTCGCGGTCCAGTCGCTGAACAATCTTGGGTTATGCCTCGGCCCCGTCGAGTCCGTAGTCGTATTCCCCGATTTATCTCTCCTGCTCATAGCCGACCCTCCTCGCCCGAACTTAGCGAGGATTAAAATGGAGAAATTGATCTCCTATAACCTTATTTAGTTAAAATTCATTACATTAATAACGTTCCTTATATGTATTTCTTATTCCTTACAGAATTATGGCTTCTATAACCATGGATAAGTCCTTGGCCAATTTACTCAGCTGTCTCATTTGTCTAGAGATCGTGAGGTCGCCAGTATTTCAATGTTCAAATGGACATATTGTCTGCTCGCAATGTAAACCACGTATCACACAATGTCATACGTGCCGGGAGGCTATGGGAAATATCCGTAGCCTCGTCGCCGAACAAATCGCCGTCTCCCTACGGTTACCCTGCATGCACCAAGCTCATGGATGCCCCGAATATCTAACAACCGAAGATCGAGAGTTTCATGAACGGCAGTGTCCATTCACCCCTTTCCCATGTCCCCTCAGGGACTTAAATTGTCTGTGGGAAGGAGCGCGATCTCTTATCTCGCCTCATCTTCAGCAAGCTCATCCGCAGATAAACAAATATAATCGATCTTCTATCCTTTTCCTTGGTCTTCATGCAGAAGGACCTAGTCCCCTAATATGGGCTACCCTCTTAGCCTGTTATGGACACGAATTCCTCATCCTCGTCACCAAGACCCATTCCGAAATTCCCCACTTTTCTATTAAGGTCTATATCTTAACCAAACCTCCCTCTCTGTCCTCTTTTACCTATACGGTTAACGTGAAGCGAGGACCTCACTCCCTTCAATGGAACTCTACCCATATTCCTCTCTGGGAATCTATCGACACCTATGACCTCTAATCTCCATTAGAACTTTCTGCCGAATCTATTTATTCTTTCGGTGCTTTTCATAATTTTAAGTTATTATCACTATTAATGTAAATGATACTGATTAATTGTACTATCCTAATATTTCCAACCTGCTTTCCAGCCATGGATAATCCTGATAATCAGTGGTGGGACTCTTTCGTTTCCACTCCTTCCTCCCCACCTCCAGAACGAAATTTTATCAAGGGACCATCCCTCGAAGCTGCCATTAACTTCAACCGGTCACAGTACCGACATAAAAATACCCCTGCCACACTAGTGCTTCCTGTCAATTATGAATGCCCCCCACATTTGGAGACAGCATACGTAGAGGAGCTAGCACGTATCGAGGCTTACTACAATCCCCCAGACGGTACCTCTTCTGTTACGGCCTCACGAACTCCATTGTTCCCTACTTCGCAGCAACCAGAACGTTCTCGCCAGAATCAAGCCACACGGGGACGAAAACAATCTCGACACTAGGGCGGTCGAAGTCCTTCATAGCGAAGCCAACTATTAACTATTAACTCAATTTATGTATTCATCCCTCGCTACTATATGTATAATTAAGCATATAATAAAATAAGAGAAATTTTATCTAATAAAATTTTTATTTTTATATCCCCGAGAACCTAGTTACTAGGCATGTAAACACCCCTTTTTAACACTCGTCAATTCCCTTAATATACTTAAAATACTTAATATTTCCCATATTCCAGGGAAACCGCGTCGCCTCTCCCGAGGACAACCATCATAATGATCTATCTTCAACTTTACGTTCTATTCTGGAGCATCAGCTATACCACCCTAACAACTTCCTCCGAGTTAAAAAAGGGTGTGGTCTTTCTACATCAAGGAAATTTCCTAATGACAGCAAGCCACTGGACCCTCGTGAATGATTGTACCTTCGAACATTTAGACCGACAAATTCAATTCATTTCCCAGTCTTTAGACTATTTAAATATCCTAGTCGAAACAACGAGCATTTCGCCCCCTTGAGACCAACTCTACAAACCAACCTCTTCCTTCTAAGGGTTTGGAACTAGTAAAAACCTCATTTCTTAATTATCAACGAGAATATGGAGAACTTCGCACCCTAATCACTCTTGATCCTACTCAACGGGAAAAACGAGGACTCCTCAACATAGGAGGACAAGCTCTTAAATTCCTTTTCGGCACCGCTACTTCCGAAGAAGTAGAAGCCTTACATATAGAAATTGAGAACCTTAACCAACGTAACGAAGGAATAATTCATTTACTACAATCTCAGACTACCTTGCTAAATAATACGTTAAACATAAGTAAACTTAATCGATACCAAATTTACGTACTATTCAAACGGGTCGAGAATTTCGGCGAACTAATAAATATATATCGCTCTGATGTAGCTTACGAAATTATCTTAAGAACCATAGAGTTCTCCGTCCAGGAATTACACTTTCAATTAATCGAACTGAGAGAAGCGATAGATGTTTTAGAACAAGGCCATTTGAGCACCTACTTCATTCCCCTAGATATCATGCTACGAACCTTGCGGGACATTCAAACTCAACTCCCACACGGCTATGCGATGATTGAACCTATCCAGCCAGATACATTATTTAAATACTACCAATGGATTACCACCATAACTATAGCCTTACCTAGAAAATTTAGAATCTTTGCCAAGATCCCTTTAATCACTCCAAGTGGATATTTTGATCTATATGAAATACTTAAATTTTCAACATATATCCCAACCTTAAATACTTTCATTCAATTCCGTACTACCTATCCAGTAATCGCCCCATCAATGGACCGACAATCATATATGCTGTTGCAGCGGGATGACCTAACCTCTTGTCAAACGGCACATTTCGCTATGTGCTCCTTGGATGTTCCCATTCAACGACCTCCCCAACAAAGTTGTGAATACTCATTATTTAACGGAATTGAGACCCAAGTCAAGATACTCTGCACTCGACAAATCATCCCAACATATAAACCGATCTTTAAACGAATCGATCGAAACGGAGCCTGGATTTATTCCACTCCAGAACCTCTCACCGTAACTATTAAATGTCCTACGAGAAGCCAAAGACCAGCTAACCACCAGAGAGTTTTTGCTACCACCTATAAAATAAACCACACCGGAATCCTCACTCTTCCAAATGCCTGTACCGGCTATTTACCTGGAATCATCCTTACCTCACATTTCCAACGACAATCCCTGTTACAACGAGAAATTGCACCACAAGTGGTCGTTCCACCTATCGAACAAATCATAAATCAAAGTGAAATCCACCTACTGCAAATTCGTCTCCGGGAGCCCAAGACTAAAGATCTCTTAACCCCAACCGGGGATTATGATATCAAATTAGCTGAACAAACTATGTCGAAAGTTCAGTACGATCTTAACCACTTATTACGTATGACCTCTACCTCGTCCACCACCTCCTCTTCTCCGTCATTACTTACGATAATTGCCAGTTGTTTTGGAGTTATCCTAATATTAATTGGCCTCCTTTCCGAACAGTGCCAAGATATGTATTAAACGTTTAACAGAATTTAGTACAGTACTATAATAATAATTCTGTATGTTAATTTTTTCATAACCTTGCTTAAGTGACTATCTCATTTATGTGGTCAGAAATTGCAGACCTCGAAGTGGCCACATGGGATTTTACTGTACAGTACTATATTATATTATTTTCGTAAAATTCACCTGTAAAGCCTTATAATACCCGGAAAACAATATAAGAAGTCTGAAGATGATATGATATGATTTTACTGTTTTAATCTCTTGAGTCCACAGTTAGTTTTGTTAATATTTATAGCGTGTATATCGTGAATAGATTGAAGTTTTGCATGTATACTAAGATTTATTTCTTCTTTTAATGAGTATTACTGTGAAATACTCTTAAAAATTTCCGATCCTACTCTACCCCACCCCACTTTTATTTAATGTTATTAACGTTATCCAATATTTCTTCACCAGGAACTTAATATCATTTGTTCTTTCTTTAGTTGTAGAGATTATGGGACCAAAATACAGGACTAGAGTAAGCACATCGGATAAAATAGGCTGGGCAACAGGACAAATAATTCTTCCAGGAATAGCTTGGTTGGTAAAAGATTGGTATTATATACAGCTAGCGAGTACATTACCCGTCATATTATTGATTTTCTTGTGGAAGTAAGTTAAAATTTTTGAAAAAATATTGAGAAAAAATGTATAAGAGATAATAAGAATCTCATATATCATTAAATTAAATGAATAGATATATACCAGAATCACCAAGATGGTTATTATCTCATGGAAAATTTCACGAAGCGGATATAATTATACGAAAAATAATGAAGACGAATGGAAAGAAAGTTGACGAACTGGACGTTATTATAAGAAAGCTTGCCTTTAAAATAAAGATGGTGAGATTATTTGAAATACTTAATTGAAATAAATGAAATAATTGTGAATATTCTTAAGATTATATAAATAATTTGTAAGTTTTTAATACTCCTACTTTGTTAATTTTATTTATTTAGTTAAACGAATCGATCGAAACGGGGCCTGGATTTATTCCACTCCAGAACCTCTCACCGTAACTATTAAATGTCCTACGAGAAGCCAAAGACCAGCTAACCACCAAAGAGTTTTTGCTACTACCTATAAAATAAACCACACCGGAATCCTTACTCTTCCAAACGCCTGTACCGGCTATTTACCTGGAATCATCCTTACCTCACATTTCCAACGACAATCCCAGTTACAACGAGAAATTGCACCACAAGTGGTCGTTCCACCTATCGAACAAATCATAAATCAAAGTGAAATCCACCTACTGCAAAGTCGTCTCCAGGAGCCCAAGACTAAAGATCTCTTAACCCCAACCGGGGATTATGATATCAAATTAGCTGAACAAACTATGTCGAAAGTTCAGTACGATCTTAACCACTTATTACGTATGACCTCTACCTCGTCCACCACCTCCTCTTCTCCGTCACTACTTACGATAATTGCCAGTAGTTTTGGAATTATCCTAATATTAATTGGCCTCCTTTCCCTTATCTGTTATTATATACGACGCAAACCAACTTCCACTCCAACTCTACAACTTGATCAAGCCGACGAACCTACTCCGGAAGACGCCGCTCCTACCGAACTAACCAACGTCACTCCACTTCCACGAAGTGTAGACACCAACCCTTCCCGTGAAATTACACCCCGAAGCAACCCTGGACAAAGAGATTCACGACCTGTTGTTTTATCCTACTAAGGATCACAGTTTTCTTCCTTTTTACCACCATAACCACCTATATATATATNTTTATAGAATGGGTTTAAGATATAAGATATAAAGATATAAGATTAAAAGATATAGAACGAAAAAGACAAATAATTATATATATTTATGCAAAAATAAGCTGTATATAAATGCATTTTTACAACTTCTTTCCTGTAATATTTTCGGTCCTTGTAGGCTATTAACTTCACTTTCCCGGCTATTATGTTTAAACAGAGTGAAAGTATGCCGATCGATCAAAAATGACCCCTCAAGATTTTATACTCGGGATAGCTTGAAACGTCGAGAAATTGAGAAACATTGGGAGAGTTCTGTATGTGAGCATGCTTGTGTTGTGGTATGAAGGCACAATTTTGTTCCCCTACTTTTAATTTTCATAACTCCCGTGTCTTTTGTCGATAATTTCTGAAATTTTGCAGGGCGATTTGTGTATTATGGAGATTGTTCTATTAAACCTTGGTAGTTAAAGGTTAAGAGAATTGGAAGATAAAGGGAGTTACGTGCCATATCTCGAGTGGGGTCAGACTTAATGAAGAAGATTAATAATAAAGAATTACTCGTTATTAGTATTTACAATTTTTATTTATTTGTTTGTTTTTATAAAACTCGTCTCTATCCTCAAAATTAAAGCTTTTTGTCATTTTATAATAATTAATAATATAGAAAGTTTTTAACATTATAACAGATGGTGCCACCAGAATTTCAAATTCTTTGCCAGGAAAGTTATACACCTCGTTGCTGGATTTTTTATATTTCAGTTCCTAAAATCCAATCTCAAACTTTGATCTTATATTAATTAAGATACAGAATATAACAGGAAAAATATATTAAATTTCTCTCTTTTGTATATTGACTATTACTTAAAAATACACTTTTATATAATGTATATTAATAAATAAATAAAATGTGTACTTTTTTTCCAGGATGGTTACTGTATTTGCATTTTATGGACTATCTTTCAACGCTGACGATACAGGAGGAAGTGTGTATTTATTTTATGTCTTATGTGGTTTAATGGATTATCCATCGGCCCTACTTATGCAGCTATTAGTAGTTAGGATAGGACGAAGATATCCGTTATTAGTGTTTTTACTCATCAGTGGAATATGCTGTATAGCGGCTTCAGCTATACCGGATGGTATACAGATTTTATTTATGTATACTTGAAGTTTATTTTCAAATATACTGGTTACTTCTATATTTTTTGGAGTATAAATTGAATGTAAATTGTATTTGTATTTTTCAGATATGACATGGTTACGAATTGTTTTAGCAGTTTCAAGTAAATTTTGTCTATCCACAGCTCTTTCTATTTTATATATATTTTCGTCAGAAATATACCCAACACCTGTCAGAAACGTTGGACTAGGCTCTTGTAGCATGATGGGAAGGATCGGCGCAATTATAGCACCTTTTATGAAGCAAGCAGTAAGAATATTATTATAAAATAAAATTATAATTCTGTATACATTTTGCCAAATGAAGTACTATAGTAAAATATGTAAATATTTTATTCTCTTGCGATTATTAAGATACTGTACTTTCTCTTTTCTGAAAACGAATTCATAAGTTAAAACTTAAAACATATTTGATGGCACTACAAAAAGTTTAGCATTAAGATTTTATCCTTAATTAAATTTAATCTATTTTAAATTTAAATTCTGGCATAACTTAATCGTATTTTCTTAATACTTTTATTTATTTATTTACAACAATACATTGACGAAGCGCTGATGATTGATCAAGTAAGAACTTACGACAATTTAGGAGAGTTTTCTTGGGAGTTTTCCTTTAGTAAAGATAAGCTTGGCGCTTGGAAGCGGTACCCACAAGACTTTTATTATTGTTTTTTACATTTCGCTTTGAAAAAAATTGACTGTCATTTAAATTGACATAATATTTACTTGACGCATTTACTTTACATGTCAAATGTTTTTTTTCTCTGGATTCAGAATTACTTTAGGCGTTTGGGGGCGGAGAAATTAACCCCAGAAAATCGACAACTCTGATTCCTGTATATATAGTCAGTCAGTAAAGTTTTTTACTTGGCGCGATGTCACTACTGATATAATGCGTCTATAGATAGATTTTGGCATGAATTACTCATACACATTAAAAAATGTTAATATTTTATTTATTAAACATTTAGGTCTATGCATCTTCAGAAAAAGCGGATAGTTTAATTTACTATTTAATCTATAATTTAATTTATAAATATATAACTTAAAAATTATAAATTAAACTTTTTTTCTTTAATTTACAAAATATATTGTCTCATAAAAAAATTGAAAAGGTTTAATAATAATATCGATATATAGGCTATATATATATATATATATTAA